GTTCTTGCTGAGTCCAGTGCGCCTTCTTTCTCTAGTCCCAACGTGCCACCAATACGTCTTCTCTGAATATTCCTGAGGTAAGTATTGTAAATGATTGTGTAACTGATCCAAGTAATAATGTGAGTACTTATAAATTGCCACCGAGACAAAATCGAGGTGTGCCTCCTGATAGGGTTTCTCCTGAAGGGAAGGTGAAGTATCCGATAGCCAATTATGTATCATGTAACAAGCTTGCGCCAGAACGTCAGACCTTGGTAAGCAATATGGAGTCTATTCAAGTACCAACTCAAGTGGAGGAAGCTCTAAAAGATCCAAAGTGGGCGAAAGCAATGGATGAGGAGATGTTGGCATTACAGAAAAATAATACTTAGGAGGTGATGATGCTACCCGCAGGAAAGAAGACCATGGGATGCCGATGGGTATTTACAGTTAAATATAAGGTTGATGGAACGGTCGACAGATACAAAGCAAGGTTGGTGGCTAAAGGGTATACTCAAACATATGGGGTGGATTATCAAGAGACTTTCTCCCCGATTGCCAAGATGAATACGGTACATGTTCTTATCTCTTTAGCTGCAAATATGGACTGGCCATTAAAACAGTTCGATGTGAAGAATGCGTTTCTCCATGGGAATTTGGAGGAAGAATTATATATGGATTTCCCTCCTGGATATAGCAATGGTGGGAATACTGGAGTATGTCGATTGCGTAAGTCACTTTATGGGCTTAAGCAATCGCCTCGTGCATGGTTTGATAGATTTACTCACGTGATGAGAAGGAACGAATATCGTCAGAGTCATTCTGATCATACGTTATTTGTAAAACGTAAACAAAATAGAGTAACAGCTTTGATTATCTATGTAGATGACATGATTATAACAGGAGATGATGTTGATGAGATGTCCAAGTTGCAAGGAAACCTTGCGGCCGAATTTGAAATGAAGGATTTAGGAGATTTGAAATATTTTCTAGGAGTTGAAGTTGCTCGCTCATCTAAAGGTATCTTTTTATCTCAACGTAAGTATGTGCTGGATTTATTAAAAGAGACTGGTATGTTGGGATGTAAGCCAGTAGAGACTCCTATTGTTGAGAATCATCATTTGGGTTTGAATCCAAGTCAGAAACCGGTTGACAAAGGTAGATATCAGAGGCTTGTAGGGAGACTTATTTATTTGGCTCCTGCTCGTCCTGATATTGCCTATGCTGTAAGTGTTGTGAGTCAGTTCATGCATTCGCCAAATGTGGATCATATGGCTACTGTTATGCATATCTTGGTATACTTGAAGTCGGCACCTGGAAAAGGAGTATTGTATGGGAAACACGGGCATTTGAGAATTGAAAGGTTTACTGATGTAGATTGGGCAGGTGATGTAACTGATAAACGGTCTACTTCTGGGTATTTTACCTTTGTTGGAGGGAATTTGGTGACATGGCGAAGTAAGAAATAGAAGGTGGTGTCACGATCTTCAGCTGAGGCCAAATATAGAGGAATGGCTCAAGGAATTTGTGAAATCCTTTGGCTACGAAAACTTCTTTTAAGACTTGGGTTGAAACCGGAGGAGACTATGAAGTTGTATTGTGACAACAAGTCCGCAAGAGATATAGCTGATAATCCAATCCAGCATGATAGAACGAAGCATGTGGAGGTGGATCGACATTTTATTAAAGAAAAGCTTGAAAAGACGATTGTATCAATACCGTTTGTGAAGTCAGAGGAGCAACTTGCAGATGTTCGTACTCATGCAGTGTGTGGTCGAAAGTTTGGTGACTCACTTGTCAAGTTGGGCATGTGTGATATCTATGCACCAACTTGAGGGGGAGTGTAAACGTGAGTCTTTAAAAATAAGTATGTAAATATATTGTAAATATTAGGAATCCTTTTTTAGGAAGGATTATTTGTTGTGTCCTTATTAATTATAGTTTCCTTATAGAACAAGGATTGTATTAGTATATATTTCAAGGAAGTAATACAATGAAATTACCCCGTAAAAATTCTATTCTTTTCACATGGAATTAAGAAAAAGAATAACAATGAAAGTAATTTTAAGGAATTAATAACAATGGAAGCTAAATTATAACTTTAATCTCTAAACAACCCAGTTATACTTCAAGTTTTACAACAGTTTCTTCATTTACAAAATAAGGATTTGCCAAGCGAGGTTTGACGTTATATTGTCAATTATGCCAACCTGAGACATCACATATTAAAAATAGAATTAATTTCACGATTAGGTAGTCATACTAAGATTTTGACAAAAGAACATTACTATATATTATATTAATGATATATGCATTAGTAAACAAATATAACTGATCAAAATGGGGTACCTTGCGTTGCAATTATTTGTCATATACATTGATGATCATCACCATAAAATCATATTAGTTAGAAGGCGTGAAACCGAACATAGATGTTGTTTTCACTTCGAACAGCAGAAATCAAATCAAGATTCTTATCAAGCACATAAAATATGAGTGCATTTGTGACAACCTAGGTCCTCGAAGGATCTATATAGACGTTTTTCGCCGACGTGGGGTGGTCCAGGACCACCCCGGTCCCTAATTGCTGTTCTAGATTGTTGGATTGCTAAATTGATTTTAGTATCTACAATAATGTCTCTGCAATCATGTTTACTAGTTCTGGTTGGATTATTAAATTGATTAATTTCAGTGTGCCATTGATGTGGGGTTTATTGTGAAAGCTATATGACTGTTTGATAATCATTTCGTTTTAAATTTTTTAGTTTTTATATTTTGAAAATTGAAACTAGTTACCAAAAAAAAATTTAGTTTTCAATTTAAAAAATAAAATAAAACATAAAAGTAAAAAATAAAAACAAAATGGTTATTAAATAGTCCCTAACCTTTCCTCTAAACATGTATGGCCGATTGTAATTTGTAATACTGTGGTAGTATCTAAAGAAAAAGAAGTACAACAAAGCCTAATGCTCTGCATTAATTTTGCAATTTGTTTTAGTAGGTAGTTAGGGTTACCGAAATCTAACATTTTTTTCTCTCACGTATTAATGTATGTCTCTTAATTATTTTTTGATTTACACGCCCTAGAAGTCACAAATAAACAGAAGTGTGCGAACAAAATTTTTTATAATTCACATTCATTTTGATATCTGATCAAACTTTTTTTGTGCTACTTGTTTAAAATTAAATAGGCGCAGCCTTATACTAAAAAACGAAAAAGAAAATACATGATACTCACTATCATTTCTTAAAATTTGAGAAAGGCTAATTAGTCTTTAGAAGCGGGGTTGAAGCTCGACATGAATAAAGCATATGACCAAGTTGATTGAAACTTTTTCGAGGAGATTATGCTGATTATGGTTTTTGACCAGAGATGGGTAAACTTGGAGATGCGGTGTGTTACCTCTATTGATTGCAAGCACTCGAGTTGTTGGTGTCAAAATCAGACAGAGCCCGACTTAGGTTAACACGTTATTTGCCCCATGTGTTGATTTCATTCTCAAGGCCATGAAATGGCTTGAGTGAGTGTGAGAGTGTGCGTGCCACTGTTGTAGATTGCCAACTGACAGTGATTATGTAGTGATGTAGAATTTGTGCTTAGATCTGACTCGTTAACCAAATCAATTGAGCAATGAATATGATGTTGGTACGATTAGGTTCTTTTTTATGCCTCTAAGACTGAGGACTTGAACATGTATGGTTTTTGACCAGAGATGGGTAAACTTGGTGATGCGGTGTGTTACCTCTATTGATTGCAGGCACTTGAGTTGTTGGTGTCAAAATCAGACAGAGCCCGACTTAGGTTAACACGTTATTTGCCCCATGTGTTGATTTCATTCTCAAGGCCATGAAATGGCTTGAGTGAGTGTGAGAGTGGGCGTGCCCCTGTTGTGGATTGCCGACTGACTGATTATGTAGTAATGTAGAATTTGTGCTTAGATCTGACTCGTTAACCAAATCAATTGAGCAATGAATATGATGTTGGTACGGTTAGGTTTTTTTTTATAGGAACTCAGAAGATTGAATTTGATGTAGAATTTGAGCAATGAATATGATGTAGAATTTGTAATCATAAAGATTGAATTTGACGAAGGTACTCAGCTTATAGGCCTCTACCTCTATTTATAGGAACTCAGAAGATCATCCTCAACCTTATTGCTGAGCTAAAGTGAGAGCAGATCGGTCATTTAATTGTGGCAATAATTGCATCTCGTGCTTTGTGGCATGTCTTTGCGTTTTTTTGGCATCTCGTGCTGGTCTGCCATGTCGGGTAACGCGTCCCTTGGTTATTTAAAGGGCCGTTATATTCCCAGTCCGATCGACTACATGGAGCATGCGCTTTCGGGAATAGATGAGCCCAAGATCTTGAAGGATTATCGCACACTAGGAAGGGGCCATCCCAATTTGAAGCGAGCTAGCCCGAATTGCGCTTCGTTGTTGGTGGGCCGATAGTCGTACGACTTAATTTTTATTTATGGTTCCAACCACGAGTTGGAAGTTCAAGCCTTGGAGAGGGATTCGGAAACGGGACCCAATTTCCCACTTTGTTAGTGAAGCTCTTTCCCACCTTGTCCAACATTGCCTTTACTTCTAAATTCATCAATGGTATTATAATCTGTAAGGAGGGCATAATGCTATCACATTCATTATCCACTGCACAAGGAGAAAGACTTGTAATCAACTGGTTAACCACTACCATGACGTATCGATCCAATGGCATTATTCAATCAGGATGCAAGGGTGACAGCCATCACATTTCATATAACTGGCTCTCCTCTACAGGAATGCATGCTATGAATCTTGTCAATAATTTCTTAAGCTATAGCATAAGCCATTCTTTTTTAATAGACGATAGCATGAGTAGTTAAATGTTAGATTAGAGAGCCAACAGGTTTCGAACTTAAGCTGAAATGTCTGTTTAACATAAGACGGCCATATTAGTTTCTAGGTGCATATTTCCAACATATCATGGAACAGAAAACTTGGGTGAAAATAATGATCCAGCAAATAATCTTGAAATATGGATCACAAATCTCATGATTAATTTCAATTAAGAACAATCCATGATTCCCCGAGACTTCAATAGATGAGCTACAAACAAATTCTGTTGCAATATTTGGACCTAGGCCGCAGCTTTAGAAATCAAATCAAGAGTGAAAACACAACCTCGTTCTCATTAAAATTACAAGAAATTAAGCATGATAAGCCTTGAAATATGGTAATAGGCATACATAAAACAACGAACAACCAAATAAATCATCGGAAACTATATAAACCATTTGACACCAAATTTCTACAAATCAGTTGAGAGTCATCATATAGCAGTATGGATAAATTGTTGATGAGATTGTGTGAGAGACTGACTAATAACACGACGTTCCTGGTCCAATTAGGAGATGTTTGCGTTTTTCAGAGATGTTGAGATTACCACACCTGCAGATGTCCGCATTACATGCTCCCCAAGTGAAGCAATACAAGAATTGTCGGTCTTCATATGAGGTTGCACCAATTCCCATATCTTTTTCTTCTGAATCTGCAAAAAGTGATAAAACGAGAACCATAAATACAAATCAAAGTATATGATGGATGAAGAAAAACTTGACCCAACAAGTGCCTCTGGCCTGAAGCATGTATATTTTGTGGTCTGAGATTCCATTTAACAGACAGCAAGAGACAAACAACCACACAACACTAGAAAGAAACTAAGAACGCCCAATCCATAAACACATGGCCGTTGTCTCAGAAGGTAGCCCTAGTAAGCCAGGACTTATCAAAACCCAAACAAGAGATAACGTGGGACGCTAAACCCAATTTTCTGTGCACATAGCCATTGTCTCACATCTGGTTTTCAGACATACCACAAGGTAAAAGGAACTTAACTCTGTTCCTTGCAGGAAACTGTAAGCACATGCACATTCATTTGAATAAAATTCTGAAATGCCAGAAATCCATCGTAGAAAAGTTCACTAATCCACCTTGTCACCAAAAGGTAACCAAAATCAACCTCCATAGTCCAAGGACAGAGTAATAAGAATGTTCGAAAGACTCTAGATACTCATTGCGGATAGGCCATCAAGTAGTCACAATTTTCTCCTGAAGATATTTTCTTGCACGAATGGAATTGGGGAAGGTTCTACATAGGAGTTGACAAACTTAAGGAAGGGTATGAACATTCCATATCAACCTTATGTCTAATTGATGTTAGGATTGCAGGGGTTATCTTATCTGTCCAGCCTGAGCTTAGACCTTGTGTTATCTTTCCATGTACTCAGACTTTTCCCGAGATATATACTCCTGAATAGGGCTCGACAACCAGGTTCAAGTTCCCCAAATAATGAGATCTGCCACCATTTGGACCAGGCATATTCAACACCCGAAGAACTTAGAAGTTTCCGATTGCATGAAAAAAATTATCTTGAATTCTGTACTCCTTATCAAATTTAATCTGGTTCACAATAAAATTCAGCATCCTATAAATTTCTCCTGTTCCAAATATCTCCACAAAACTAAAACCAGGGGACTTCTTCACCCCTCTCCTCTCCATGGCTTCTCTCAGACTTCTTGCATCATCCCAGTGTCTGGAAAATGCATAAACATTTGATAAACCAACATATCTACCATCATGATCTGGCTGTATCTCTATAAGCTTCTTTCCAACAATTTCTGCAAGATCTAATTCTCCATGGTTCATGCACCTGCTAAGTAAAGCACCTAACATTGAAGTTGTTGGCTCCTTGGGCATTTGACATATAAAGTGGTATGCCTCCACTACCTGGCCTCCTCGTGCTAAAACATCCACCATGCAAGCATAGTGCTCACACTTGGGTTCCATACCATGTTTACCAAGACATTCAAAGAAATGCCAATCTTCCTTCACTAATCCCCCATGAGCACAAAGTACATTATCTCATCTGGCACAATCCCAATTATTTGCAATTTGCTAAAAATTTCAAGTGCCTGAGGGACTAATCCATGCATTGCAAGTCCTCCAATCATTGCATTCCATATCAACACATCAGATTGATGCAGTGAACCCCCACGAAACACACCTAAAGCCTCCTCTATCGCCCCACATTTGGCATACATGTCCACTAGTGATGTTTGCAACACCAAATTCAACGGCATATACCGATGCATCACCTTCCCTTGCACAAGAGCACCTACGCACATGCACACAGAACACTCACCATGGTTACCTCATTTGCTTTAGGCCCCACAACACGCATTCTCTCAAATACTGCCAAAGCCTCACTAAACTCCCCGGCCTTAACATACCCATCAATCAAAGAACTCCAGGACACCACATTACACTCTGGCATTAACTTAAATACTTCCCGTGCTGAAATCACGTCCCCACACTTTGCATACCCATCTAACATCGAATTCCACGAAACCGAGTTTCTCACAGGGATTCCATCAAACACTTTACTTGCATTTATGATATCTTGACAAGTAGCATACATATGGATCAAGGAATCACTTATGTATCAGGATGGAAACTATTTTTAGCAATATGAGCATGCACAGCCATACCCAGTTCTTGCTTAAATAAGCGAGCTGACGCCTTTAAAAGAAATGGATAGGTTAAATAATCTGGAGAGACCCCGTCATGCAACATTTGAACAAAGACTGATATGGACCAATTCGGGTTTTTGCTGTTGGAGTAGCCTCTAATAACTGTGTTTCAATGAAAAAAGTGTTGGGTTTGAGAGCTGTGAGAAAACTTGATAAGAGTATCGCATGTTTTCCGAATTGGATAGCGCAGCAAAAGAAAGGACTTTGGAAGTCAATGAGTGGTGTTGGGAGAGGCCCAAAGTGAGGAGCAGAGCATATATTTGCTTGAGCTCAAACATCGATTTGCAATTTTCATGAAGGGTGACTAGCTTTTGAATTATACTAGCATGTATGCTTGGAAAATTCAACAGTTGAGGATTAGACGCGGAGAGTACCTGGTTAGGCGAGGCAGCAGGAGGCTGATTTAGGTGATCCTCTTCAGAGCCAAACCATACTCTTTCACCAGGGAGTGAACCCTCAGGTGGCACGAGAAGCTCAACATTCTCATGGGAAGCATCAGAAGCTGCCATAAGCATTCCATTAGACTTCACGCCGCGCATGTTCCTCGGCTTCAGATTAGCAAGCACAACTACATTTCTATCCTGCATCACACAGACACAAAATCCCATTGCATACAATTGTCAATCTGATCATTCTCACTTCTCTAACACAAAAATAAATGAACTTTTTCCACCATGGCCCACCACCAACATCACCGATGTATTAAGTATGAGATTTTACCACAAAAGTCCTCAGGTCATATTAGCAGTGAACCTCACATATATACTGTACACCTTTGATGCGATACTATGCTCCAACAAGAATAAAATATAGTACAATATACATACACATATACATGCTCCAAATTCACATTGTGTTTTGAATACAAATGGGATATATGCAAACTAAGGAATTCGTGAGTTGGAACAAAGAATTTGGGTACCTGAAGGTGATCAAGAGGAATATATCTGACAAGGCCACTGCAGATGATTCTGGGTTCGGGCTCACCAACGTCGACTTCCTCCACATAAAGAGAATCAGCCTCCTCATGCCTCCACGCCTTAAGGACTCGGCCAACCCTTATGTCGAGCAGGTCGGCTGCATCCTTTATCTTCTTCTGTTCATGAACAACCTCGCTCACGGGCACTGCCTCGTCGACCACAGCAGCATCGCTCACTACCTCAGAAGCAGAGGCAGAAGCAGCAGCAGAAGCGTCGGCGGCGGTGCAGAAGGGAGAAGAGGAGTTCCACAAGGCGGCGAGTCTTGGTGATGGTGATAATGTGAGTTTTCCGCGGCGAATGCGGATGTGGTGGTAATTGTGATTGACAGCGGAATTGATTTGGTTGAAATTGAGAGGGCGGTGCGGGTGGGCGAAGGGGAAGAGCTGACGGACGCTGATGCCGGCGCACTTTCCTTTCAAAAGGCTCGTTGCTGCCATTCTTTTCCCCCTCCTCCCTATCCTCAATAGCAACTCACTGGCTCTGGTTTTCCCTTGTTTCATTTAGTAAATTTCAAAATGTATTGTAAATGATGGAGTATTTTCATGTTCGTATTATTTTTGTGATATACTTTTTTTTTTTTGTGACATACGTGATATATTAACGGTTATTATCGTGTCACACCTGTTAAATGAACGGATAATATGACCCGATCCGAACTCGACCCGTTAATATTACCTAAATATTAACGGGTAATATGATTCAATCTGTTACTCGTATAGAAAATATATTTCACATCAATTATAAAACTATACAAAAACTCGTAATGACAAGCTCTATAACTTTGGTGAAGAGGTGAACTCCAGAATTCGCCATCATAATCCCACAAACCATAGATTTAAATTTAACCGTTGATTGTCGTTTATTTACACTCTATTCTTCTCACTAAATTTCTTTCTTTTTTTTTTCAAATTTTCTTTTTTGATAACAAGATCTTTTAGCGGATGCAGAAAGATGAACGGTTCAGATCATTGATATCACGTTTAGATTTTTACTGTTAATAAAAATATTGTTTTTAAAGTCTCTAGAAACTATATAATATCGACTCATATTTCAGTTAACCGTAAACATCGGAACATGATATCAACTATCCAAATCGTTCATTTTTCTGCATGCGCTAAAAGATCATGTTATCAAAAAAAGAAAATTCGAATAACGAAACCTAGTAAGAACAATAAAGCATAAACGGCAATCAATAGTTAAATATAAATCTAGAGTTTATGTATTATGGTATCGAATCTCAGAGTTGACCCATTCACAAAAGTTGTAAAGTTTGTCATTACGAGTGATTGTTTATTTTTTTTTACATTTTTCACACTTATACATTAATTTTTATTAATTATACACTCAACCAAAAAACACTATTCATGAGGATTTGGAGGGTATTGAAAATCTAAACAACAATATAACCATCGTCTAAGCGTAGAGGATGCAATCACAAACATTTATTTATTTATTTATTCATATTTTTTACTTGTGCATTGATTTTTATGAATTTTGATTTAATTTGAACTCCCCATAAAAACACTATTCTCGAGGGTTTGTAGGATTTTAAAAATTCAAACAACGATGTACTCATCGTCAAAATGTAGAGGATGCGATCACAAGGGTTTGCATATATTTTCACATTTTCACACTGTTAAGTAATTTATTATGAATTTTTTTAATGTGCTTTGAAATTCTTTTAATCTCACTTATGTGATTAAATGCTATGCCTACGGTAGTTAGATTTTTTTTTTGGAGTTTAAAATTATCAAACATTTTCTCATCGGTTTGAAACATGTTATTTGCGGGTAAACTTGGGTTCTTAACGTGTCATCCAATGACAACTTGATTAGTTAACTTGTTGACCCGAGACCTATTAATTGTATCCTCACAAAAGAATGTTGAAATGGAAGAAATTGCCTAATCATTCAAGTCTTTGCTTTGGAGTCTCTAAATTATACGCCCTTTGGTTGAATCATAAGAACTTACCTCAAATTGTCATGTTGTTTGGATCGAGTTAACAAGTCATGTAAAAAATTGCCAAGTCTACTTGCTTGTAATGATAAAAGTACGAATTTTCCATTGTTTGAACATTTATGATTAAGTACCTAAACCCCTCCCCCTCCCCCAACCCAACCTTTTAGTATCATTCCAAATTGGTCTCAACCTTTTTAAACATTCCAGGCATGTACCCAACCTATTAAAAATGTCACATCTGTTAAGCCTTAGTAATTTCTGTTAAATTAACTAGGGCTTATTTTGTCTCCAAATCTAATAGAAGATCATGAAAGCATGGCCTCCACCAACTAACGATCACCACCACCACCTCTATCTGACAATCACCTCTTGACCCAACATACAACCACCAACTCCACCCTACAATTCAAGGCCTCTCTAAACACGAGCAAAACAAGTATGTTATAGCGGATGTGAATGGTCAAGAAAGGTATCCACTTCACGTCTTCATCCACACGGATCACATAAAACTTCAACATGATATCAAAGAGGTAAATCCGGTGGCAGATACACTTGCCGACTCAGGGCTTACAATAGGTTTCAAGTAATGAAAATATAACCATATTCAATCTTGTAGGTGGTGGCCACTATTCGATTGGGTCGTTCTTTCTTCTTTAGTATCAAAATTATGATGATGATACATCAATATTAGCCTTAGTTCTTTCTCCCATTCTTTGTGAGTCTTCCTCTTTTATCACCTTAACAAATTTAACTCACCTTAAGACTTAGTATTTTCTAACCACCAAGTAGAGTATAAAGGTTGGGATGAAGTTTCAGTGATCGTAGGTTGAGCTTGGATGAAGTTTTGGTGATCGTAGGTTGAGCTTGGAGGTGGCAGGGATTGATATTTCTCGGTTTTCATCTTCATGCCTTTTTGAAGTTATTTTTATTATTATTTGTGCCCAAATAAGCTAAAGTAGGCACATTGTTGCCACAGGTACATTTAACACAAAAATTAACTTGGATTTAATGGAGGTGACATTTTTGGAATTGAATTACTAGGGTTGTGGACCCTACAATTGACCTTTGATCGACGGTTGACTTTTTAGTCAACGTGTCCCAAATTAGCCTAGGGTGTTGTTTATTTTTAGAATGTTGTTGAGGCTTGATGGAGCTTAGTTGGCTCATCATGATGACATGTCGTTCCCGGTTACCATTCATCTCAATTTACGTACAAGTGGCACTATGCCTCGCTTTGCATGCTGATCTGACTAAGTTTTCTAAGTGGGGTATTGTGTATTGTATTAGGTTCCTTGGAGCAGTGCCGCTGAATCTAGAAGTGCGAATGACTCTAGGTATCAGAGCCAATCCCTAGTCGAAAGTGTGCCGATGAGGACATCGGGCCCCTAAGGGGGTGGATTGTTAGATCCCACATCACCTAGGGGAGTGGATCCTCTATGCCTTATATGTACATGCCCACCTCCATTAGCACGAGATCTTTTGGGAGCTCACTAGCTTTGGGTTCCGTAGGAACTCCGAAGTTAAGCGAGAATGGGCCAGAGCATTGCTAGGATGGGTGACCTACCGGGAAGTTCTGCTCACGTGAGTTCCTAGAAACAAAACCGTGAGGGCGTGGTCGGGGTCCAAAGCAAACAATATCGTGTTACGGCGGAGTCGAGCCCAGGATGTGGTGGAGCCCAAGTCGGGATGTGACACCAGGTGAGTGACTTTAATCTTATGTGAAAGGGTCATTACCCATGAGAACTTCCTTGTTATATACTATGTGGATATAATTTGAATTTTCAAATGATTTTATGGAAACGGGTGATGCTATGCTATATTTACTTGATGGTGGTCAAGGTCTTAAATATCGATATTATCGGCGAAATATATTTACTTGATGGTGGTCAAGGTCTTAAATATCGATATTATCGGCGATATTTCGCCGATAATATCGTTTTTTTGAGAGGCCGATATTTTCACACTTATCCACTTAATTATCGTCAATATATCGATATTTTTGTCAATATTATTGCAATAATATTGGAGACGATATTTTCAGCATTTTAATACATTATTTGGGCAATATATCACGATATTATCGATAATATCATGAGATGAAACCCAAAAATACTTGAAAAATGGACTTACCAAAGACCTTATCGCAAACAGCTTTGCAATCCTCAATCTCACCGTATTCCTTAAACACACAGGTTAGGGTTTCGGTGTTGGTGTCCCATCCGAGACCATGGACGAAGATCTTGCGGTGGATTGGGTCCTCATCCACAACCTTCCAGATTCGATCTGCCACGTCGTCGTGGTTATCGGCAGCTTCGAGGAGCAAGGAGATAAGTTGTTCCTTGGTGAATGGTTCTAGAAGATTCTGGATTGGCTCATCCTCATCATCACCTGCACCGGCTTGATCCAAAGCGGCTGAGGCGGACATCGTGGTTATGTTACCGGTTTCCTTATACTCACCGCCTAGCCCCACTTCGTCCTCTCCCTCTTCCTCTTCCTCTTCGTTGGCTCCTTCATCTTCCTCCTCCTCCTCTTCTTCGACTTCTTCTTCTTCCTCTTCGACTACTTCCTCTGCTGGTTCGTTTTGGGGTTTGGGTTCCTCAACTACGACATGTTGTTGCTTTTTGGTGGGTTTGGAGGGCTCGAAGGAGCTAATCTTTTGTTTTTTCGCCATTAAAGGAGGGGTGCAAGCGTCGTGGATAGAGAGATTTAAAGGTTAGGGTTAGGGTTTCTTTGAAGAACTGCTGCCAGCACCCAAGTGAAAACGCAGGAACTGATTGGGAATCGAGAGAGATGCAGGGTAAAAGTATCCTTATCTGTTTAGGTTAGGGGTACTTTCGTATTTCAACCTAACATTTTACACTTACTCTACACCAAGGGGATTCAAACCCCTCCCATTTTACACTTACTCTACACATAGAGATGATGAAGATAGTGAAAATTTTGAACCTCATAGGAACTCTATGTGGTACTAAGTCACTCATGTATCTTACCATGCAATGTATAAAGTCTAAAATATTGTACTAATTCATCATATATAAATGATTATGGTGTGTTTAAACTTCTTTCATTTATTACTACATATTGTCTAAACTCACAATGTTTGCCAGCTTGCTATATAATCAATTTAAATCAGTTAAATCCATCATGCAATGCATTTCCTTCCAAATTTTTGTGATAAACTAATAGATAATTGACTAAATAAACATCCTGCAAAGTTTCAATAAAAATTTCCAAGTTTTTCTTACAATTTCCGTGGTTTTTATTCAATTTTTATCGATATCGATAATATCCCGATATTTTCATCGAAATTTCCGTGTTTTTGGACTACCGATATTTCCGATATCATCGATATTTTAGACCTTGACGGTGGTACAAAAAAAATAATAAATATATATATATATGCTATATTCCAAATGAATGAGGCTTATGGTGGTTATTCTAAAATATGTGTCTATTGGATCCTTATGATCATTCGAAAAAAATGATGAAAGGCGAGTGGTGAGCCACAATCTAATGAGAATGATGGAATGATAATGACGGTGATCAAAATGACAGATGTGTACATAGCCACTGCTTTTACATTTAATCATTTTATTTTGCTTATATTCACATATGTTGTATTATTGTCACTCACATGAGCTTCACATCTTATCTAGGTTTTGCTTTGCCTGGTGTGTCATTCCCACGGCGTAGGGTTGTTTTGCAAAGTAACATGTAGTGGTTAGAGATGAGATCTAAATTGGTATAGTCGTGTGAACAGTTATTTTTTTATTTTTTTCTATTGATATCTAAAGAAACTGTGAAAAGATTTTGGGGGATCTCTAGCATAAAAGTGAAATCATTTCGATAGATCTCTACCATATGCAGCTATTTTATTTGGTATCTACCGAAGTTTCTAAACAATAGTTTTAGTAACTTGTTGAAACATTGCTTCTGTAGAACTGTGTTGAAAATTCTAAACAATTATGACAAAGCTATCCTAGAACTTTGCGTGCTTTCATTGAACTTACTGGCTGTTTAAAATACTAGGGAGTATGAGGTGCTAGGGTAATCTGAGTAAGTTAAGTGTGTCTATCAAGATAATTATTTGTCTCAAAAGTAGATATGAGGTGTTTCCAGTAAGTGGAGTGTATTCAACAAATTGTAAACCACAAAAAAAAAAAAATAATAAAATAATAAAAATAAAAAAGTAATATACAATCCATACATTCTATACTATATGACTTCGAATGATAGCTTTAGTGTTTTTAGCTCACCAAAAAGATTATTAATTCTAGAAATACTTTTATAAACGGTAAATAAAATACTTTCTGTTGTAAAGGAAAATAGTTTGATAGAAAATGATAGAATTTTATTGGAGAATTTCTTAGTGTTACAGTATGACGCATAGCCACCTTTATATTGTAGTGTGACTATCCTCTCAAATTACAAATATTCATATTGCAATGGGGAGAATCAATTGCCTAATCAATTGAGGAATGAATGACCTATTCATTTGAGGAATCAATGGCTCGATGGTTACCCCAATTAGTGGACGAACATAAATATCCTGCAACACTCCCCCATGGACGTTCATGAATTGCTTAGCTATGTAATCAGTGAAACTTGTAACACCCCAAAAATTTAATCAGAAGCTAAGCTCGGTGATAGGCCAAAAATAAGATCTTGGTTAATCACTACTATTAACCACAATTAATTTCTTGAAATTTGCCATTTACTTACAACATTTATTTCATTCCTTTTATGGCTGCATCTAACTCCTGTTAGACTGCCTACGTATCCTCGAACGGGATCAAGCCTTCCATAGTTCATAATTCATTTTTAAACGGTTTTCTAAAATACTCAAGTGGCGGACAAATATGTAACTAGATCCACACGATTGAATCACATCAAATGATTATCACACATGGATTTAGAACAACGAAATTAACTTTAAAATGCAAAGTTGGCCCGCTAGCTACGTGCCACTTAGGCCTGGCAAACGGGTCGTGTCTGTCATATTCGTGTCGTTTTCGTGTAACACCTGTTATCTTAATGGGTCTTGTCGTGTCACACCTGTTATCTTAACGGGTCCTTAACAGGTCGGGTCACTTTACCCAACGGGTAAAGTGACCCGACCCGTTAAGAAAAATATATTTTTTTCTTAAATTTGCACATATCACACATTACCACATAAATATTACTTCTAAACATTAAAACATATTTGTCATTAAGTACTCCATCTACACTCGAAAATAAGAGCCTAATAAAAAACAAGTTTGACGGTTGGATTGTTAAAATTAGTTTCATATAATTCGTATCCCATCAAAACAATAGATTCACTAACACTTAGAGTTTATTTATACTTTCATTAAGTATAACATAAGATTTTGTGGTATCCACTTGTGTGAATATTTTAAATTGATGATCAAATTCATTCATTGTATTCGTATAGGGTCAAGGAGTGTAGTTGGAAAAAATCATCAAAATCAGAGTTAAAATAACCGTTAAATCGTGATTTTTTGTTTTATAACCGTCCAAAAGTTTTGTCTCATTACTTGATCTTTGAATGTTTGTTTTTTGTGATTTTTGGCGTATGCGATCTCGAACCATATACAAACAAGTTTGGCGGTTGGATCATTAAAATTAGTTTCATAGAATTCGTATCCCATTAAAACGATAGATTCATTAACACTTAGAGTTTATTTATACTTTCATTAAGTATAACATAAGATTTTGTGGTATCCACTTGTGTACATATTTTAAATTGACGATCACATTCATACATTGTATTCGCATAGGATTAAAGAGTGTAGTTGTAAAAAATCATCGAAATCAGAGTTAAAATAACCGTTAAATCGTGATTTTTTTATAACCGTCGAAACTTTTTATCTCATTACTGGATCTCTGAATGTTTGTTTTTTGTAATTTTTGGCGTATGCGATCTTGAAGCATATACAAACAAGTTTGACGGTTGCATCGTTAAAATTAGTTTCGTAAAATTTGTATCCCATCAAAACAATAGATTCACTAACACTTAGAGTTTATTTAGACTTTCATTAAGTATAACATAAGATTTTGTGGTATCCACTTGTGTAAATATTTTAAATTGACGATTAAATTCATTCATTGTATTCGTCTAGGGTCAAGGAGTGTAGCTGTAAAAAATCATCAAAATCAGAGTTAAAATAACTGTTAAATAGTGATTTTTTGTTTTATAACCGTCGAAAAGTTTTGTCTCATTACTTGATCTCTGAATGTTTGTTTTTTGTGATTTTTGGCACATGCGATCTCGAAGCATATACAAACAAGTTTGGTGGTTGGATCGTTAAAATTAGATTCATAGAATTCGTATCCCATCAAAATGATAGATTCACTAACACTTAGAGTTTATTTATACTTTCATTAAGTATAACATAAGATTTTATGGTATCCACTTGTGTAAATATTTTAAATTGACGATCAAATTCATTCACTGTATTCGTATAGGGTCAAGGAGTGTAGTTGTAAAAAATCATCAAAATCAGAGTTAAAATAACCGTTAAATCGTGATTTTTTTTATAACCGTCGAAAAGTTTTATCTCATTACTGAATCTCTGAATGTTTGTTTTTTGTAATTTTTGGCGTATGCGATCTCGAAGCGTATACAAACAAGTTTGACGGTTGGATCATTAAAATTAGTTTCATAGAATTCGTATCCCATCAAAACAATAGATTCACTAACACTTAGAGTTTATTTAAACTTTCATTAAGTATAACATAAGATTTTGTGGTATCCACTTGTGTAAATATTTTAAATTGACGATCAAATTCATTCATTGTATTTGTATAGGGTCAAGGAGAGTAGTTGTAAAAAAATCATCAAAATTGGAGTTAAAATAACCGTTAAATCGTGATTTTTTTTATAACCGTCGAAAAGTTTTATCTCATTACTGGATCTCTGAATGTTTGTTTTTTGTAATTTTTGGCGTATGCGATCTCGAAGCATATACAAACAAGTTTGACGGTTGGATCGTTAAAATTAGTTTCATAGAATTCGTATCCCATCAAAACCATAGATTCACTAACACTTAGAGTTTATTTAGACTTTCATTAAGTATAACATAAGATTTTGTGGTATCCACTTGTGTAAATATTTTAAATTGACGATCAAATTGATTCATTGTATTCGTATAGGGTCAAGGAGTGTAGTTGTAAAAAATCATCAAAATCTGAGTTAAAATAACCGTTAAATATTGATTTTTTGTTTTATAACCGTCGAAAAGTTTTGTCTCATTACTTGATCTCCGAATGTTTGCTTTTTCTGATTTTTGGCACATGCGATCTCGAAGCATATACAAACAAGTTTGACAATTGGATCGTTAAAATTAGTTTCATAGAATTCGTATCCCATCAAAACGATAAATTCACTAACACTTGGAGTTTATTTATATTTTCATTAAGTATAACATAAGATTTTGTGGTATCCACTTGTGTAAATATTTTAAATTGACGATCAAATTCATTCATTGTATTCGTATATGGTCAAGGAGTGTAGTTGTAAAAAATCATCAAAATCGGAGTTAACATAACCGTTAAATCGTGATTTTTTGTTTTATAACCGTCGAATAGTTTTATGTCCTTACTGGATCTCTGAATGTTTGTTTTTTTTAATTTTTGGCGTATGCGATCTCAAAGTATATACAAACAAGT